CGGGACTTGGAAGCCCAAACTCCACACCAGTGTGTAGAGGATACCAGACATGGAGTCAAGGTAGGTTGTTCACTAGCTTTGAGATCTGATGCCTGCCCTGCTGGGTTTTGGACATGCTTAGGACTTGTTACCCCTTCCTTTTGGCCTATTCTTCCTTTTTGAATAGGAATATGTACCCTTTGTCTGTCCCACCATTGTATCTTGGAAATAGATAACTTGTTTTGATTTCATAATGGGACCTTGAGACTTTGGGCTTTTGAGTTGAAGCAAGTTAAGACTTTGGGGCTATGGGAATGAAATGAATGTATTTGTGTGTGAATGTCCCCCCAAAACTTAGTCCCCTGAGTGACAGTGTGAAGAGGGTGGGAAGTCCTATTAGGGTAATTGAAAGATGGGGCCTTGAAGGGGTGATCAGATTGTAGGACTGTGCGGTAGTGAATGGGTTACTAATGATGTCAGGGACATGATTCGGAGGGATTTAACAGGAGAGTGAATGAGGAGGTTGGTCTCTCACTGTTTGTGCTCTACCATGTGACACCCTCAGTCACTGTCGCTACCACCAAGACCCTCACCACATGTGCTCCCTGGACTTTGGACTTCCCACCTTCTGACACTGTAAGCAATAAATTTTGATTTCTTTATAAAATACCCAGTTCCAGGTATTTTGTCACAATACACCAACCTTCAGCTTTATAGTGGGAACCAGTGGATCCTCTTCTCATGTGTCCTTTGTCATATTTCCTTCTCCATAAAATATGTCCTTTGGTCTGAGATGTTATTCACAATTCCACATAGTAAAGTAAGTTTGTGTTGGGTTTATTCCAGGGGTGTCTATCCTAGTCTTTCCAACTGTTTTTCAGTTCGTGCACCAAGACCACACTGTCTTAACTAATGGCCTCTATGATAAGGCTTGACGTCTGGTAGATACACTCTTCTCTTCTTCGTGTTCTTTTTCATTGGTTACGTTTCACCCTTTACATTTCCATATAAATTTTAGATTCATTTTGTCAATTTCCTAAAAATTGTCAGGCTTTTGAGTGGGATTGCATCGAATCTATAGTCCACCTTAGAGGAATTGACATATTTATAACACGGTCTTCTAATTCACAAACATAATATTTTCCTCCATTTATTTGGGTTTTAATTTCTCTCAACAATGTTTTATAGGTTTCTGCATAGAGGTCTTGTACATCTTATACTGCATTTATTCCTAGGTATTTTTTTGTTTCTGTTCTTAAATTGGTATTTTTTAATGTTTTAAACTTTTGGTTGCTCATAGATGTCCAATTGATTTGGTGTGATTTTGAAAACAAACTTATTATTTCTAAAATTTGTCTGTGAATTCTATTGCATTGTCTAAGTGTATAATGTTATTTGTGAATAGTCTAATTTCTTCCTTTCCAACCATCATGATTTTTCTTGCTTCTCTGCATTGACTAGGGTGTCTATCCTGTGATGATAGGAGGCATCTTTATCTGTCTCCTAATATGAAAGGAAAAACATTACATTTTACCATTAAATATGATGCTTTCTATAGTTCTTGCTTTTAAATATTCCTTGTAAATACTTAAGACATCTCGATTACAGCCTTGTGAGAAATCCTGAGGCAAAGTACCCAGCCAAGACACTCCTGATACACAAAAACTGAATTAATGTTGCTGTAAGCTGCTAAATTTGGAGTAATTTGTTACACAGCAATAGATAATACAGAAGGGATGTATAATGTTCCATTCAAAGTCCAACCTAAGGGCCGGCCCGGTGGTGCACTGCTACAGTGCACTGCTTGGGAGCGCGGCAGCGCTCCCGCTGAGGGTTCGGATCCCA